AAAAGCATTTGTGATGATTTCGAGAGTAAGAGGAACAAAAGTTAGAAATTGAACGAGTAGTCCACAAGATTTGTAGTTAGCGATAAAAAAGTGACTTCGTGATTTTCTCAAAATTTCTGATAAGTCACACCTTTAACAAAAACAGGGATAAGTTCATCCCTCGGTGCCCTGAATTCATTGTGGCCTGATTTTATCAGTGTGCCATAATCAGAATCTCGAAGAGAATACCATATTGCCGAGGGCAAATAACCAGACACAGACGTAGCGCCCTGGAAGATTGAGTACATTTCAGTTTACTGCTCTACTTTGATTTGAATGATTAGCAGAACTTACTGGTTGATATACAGGAATAATCATCATTGCATTTCCCCACATAAATTGTTCCCCGAGATCATGAGTTTCTGAGTCAGAAGTGAATTCAAAAAAAACTGGTCGAATAACAGTGCCGCCATATAATGAGACATCGAACAATAAGCTGAAGAATGAATTGCACCAAATAATTGGGTTTTTTGCAACAAAAGAACAAGAACAAGTAGACATTAACAAAAATCAAAGACCTATAGAGATATGGAAGGTAGTAATATCGGAAAAGATTAGCATTTCGAGTGGCTCTTGCAACATCTGGCCATCGAGATGGATCCTGGCTTGTTACACCTTTTTCGTTGTGATTCCTGGAAAATGATCACTTCCAGTTAGTTTTTAAAGACTTCATCTTTGGTTTTTAAAAGTAGCAAAGGTTAAACCTTGAGAAAGGATAAAATGCACCGAGTTGTTGCCATCGTAAACACAATTCCTCGGTTGTTTCTCCATTGAAACCGCAGATATCCGCTCCAATGTATGGCATACCAAACAAATTAAATTCTTGGATGCCAATAATGGAAGCTCTCAAATCAATCCAACGAGCACTATTGTCACCGAGCCAGTGGCCACCGTAATGACCCGAGGAAACAAATGTAGATCTGATATATAGAAACAAATCTGAATTCATCATACATGTTAACTATGTTGACTGTTTCACCCCGTTATGATGACCAAAGGTCAAAATTTCATTTACTTCATTACTCATTGATGAAATTCAACGTACAACTTACAATCTAACATACGTTTGTGAACAATTTATGCAGTTTGTACCAGTTTATCTACAAAAATTTGGGGAAATTTTGTAATCATATTTTTCTGAATCACAACATTTCACTAAATAATTATGACTATTCGATTCCCCGTCATTAAATGCCAATAAACTTCTCCGATCTGTACAAGCATATTACCAATTAGAGCCATTAAATTGTGAACTACTATCCTGTAAAGTCGATCGTTTTCATTTCAAAATTGATTTTCCTTTTTCAAATGTTAGTGAGACTAAGAGCAGTCTTCTTCATCTCTTTATCCACCTTTTTTATCCCAAATAATTGACTCTGCTTCATTTAGAGTCAACTTTCAGGCTCTTGTAAAAGATTGAAAAGAACCTGGATAAAATTAGACCTCGTTTCCCTGTTGCTGCATGCTGAGCCTTTTCAGTCGCTATCATTTCTGCTAATCCATATAGATTTTTTGTATTATAAATTCTCTGAGTTCCTCTATTTGTCATTCCAGACATGCAAACAGTTTTGTTTGATAAATGCTAAAATAGTATCAATCTCTATGTTTATGAATTTCGGGCAGTTATTTTATAAATTTTGACAGAGCATAAAATTTCCTAAAATTAATTATCACAATTTGAAAATCCTCGAAGATAGCACTATGTTTCTAGAATGTAAAAGAAAAATACAAAAAAAAAAAATTGAAAAACGTGCAGCTTCAGCAAAATTGTAGGCATAAGAGTTCCAAGTTTCATAAGGAGGGTTGTCATATTTCGATGTTGCATCATTGAGAGGACATTTAAGTGGTATTATCTTTGCTGGTCTGTCCGGATCATCAAAATAAAATGGATGATATTCATTAGTGCCAAAAGCAGCCGGTTCATTCATATCGATCCAGATGCCATCAAATGGAAGCTCAAAATTTTTTAAATGAATTCGAGACTATATGGCAGTGTGATTAATTTTTAGTGTCACTAAAAAAGTTAGTAACCATTTGATGGAAACGCTTAAATTCCTCAATCCACCATTCTGCGGTCGACGGTTCTGGATCGAGGAAATCAGGAAAAGCAACATGCCAATCCGGCCATACAACCGAAAGCATTATCTAAATATGAGATTCATTCAATAACGTGAACTCACAACTCACATGTAGCAGATTTAATATCTTTTCAAAATTAGATGTGACTGTTAAACGAAATAATCAATAATTAAAATTTTAAAATTCATACAGGAAGCAGACCTTTGTATCTTTTATTAACGGATATTTGTTCTGAATCTCATGTTGTACTTGATCATAATTTTCCCATTCTATAAAACTGGCATTCTGAAATCACAAGAACTAAACGCGAAACAAAATCAAAAAGCTAGAATGTTTTTTTAACAATTTGGATGTTGTTAATTTAATTATTATGAGGGAAATAAACAATAAAATCTGTTCGTTGAAATAAACTATAAAATGTTCTTGTCACAAGCCTAGCTATTTTCATGCTTTTCAAAAAGATGATTGATTGCTGTCCCAAAAACAGTAATAGTATTATTATTAAGTTAATATAACGAGTCCAAAATTGATGTAATAGGATTATTGGCATAAATCGAAATTTCAAGCTCACTTTTTCAATTGCCCTCTGAAAGCTGGAATAATTAACTTGCACTGCAGGATCGAAAATAAGCAATAAGTGCATTCCATTTTTATGTAGTTCATCAGCATATTCTTTAAAATTTGACCAATGTTCCTAAATTATTACCACGATCACCCAGATATCTCAGAGGTCACTATGACAAAAAGTATGATTTTGTTGCACTGCAAACACAATTATAACTTATGACTATTTTGGATGTGACCATTCTTCACTTTGTTTTATGGCTCGAAAAAAATCAGAAAAGAAATGAACTATTAAAATAACTATTTTTTAAATCATACTTTTGCGACAGTAAAATCTTTATACCGTTCCATATAATCAATGTCTGCATATACCACATCGATTGGTATACTGGAATTTTCAATTTTTTCAATTGTCTCCTTCATTTCAGTCAAACTTTTATAACCATATCGACAAAACTAAAAATCTATTATTCGTATTAACCTCAAAGAAAATCATAAATTTTCGATGAATTTTTAAATGCAAGAAAGAAATCTAAAAAGATATCATACTTGGAATCCGAGTGCGAAATAAGCTGGAAGAAATGGTCGGCCAATATATTCAAGATATTGCTGTATAACTTGCTCTGGCTTTGGTCCTGGGAAAAATGTCGCATCAATTATTCCACCAATAAAGCGATATATTAAATGAGGCCCAGGTCCTGTTGTTATTTCCTGAACAATATTACTTTTCGTTTCAAGTTTTTAGCTTACAATTAATCAGAGTAAATTTGTCATGATAAATAAATGCTTCTACCTGTGGATTACTATTCCAAAGAAGTACACCATGTGCATTATTGTCCTTTTCTAAGCCAAGATAAAATGGATGCACTCCATACAAATTGCGATATGGATTTTCCGGATCAGGTGGCTGATCTCTTGCAAACATTGGCCATGTTGTATATTTTGTGAATTTATGCTAAATGTACAAAAATCATTTTAAAATTGAAGATATAAAACTATTGACAAATGTGATAAATTAAGCCATTATAATATAATTTTTCGTGATAAAAATCCTTCTTCCAATGCCTACCTTCAAGCTTGGATGAACGTGTTCACCAAATCCATAAATTTTATCAGTCGATAAAAAAGTTGCAATTTGAATATACTGATCAGCAAAAAGTAAACCACCTAAAAGTTCATTTTAAATTTGTAAACATTGCAGAATTTAGTACATTAAAGACGAAAGTTTACGTTCTCAATTATCTTTTTTTATTATTCTATTATAAGAATTATCCATATATTATCTATTATAAGAAAAGCTTGCTAAAATTACCAATTGAGGTATCCCAAATCAGTTGTCCCGTTGTGATACGACGAATTCGAAGTGTAAAAAGTTCAGATTCGCTGGGAATTTCTGTAGTAAAATGTTGTTCTTTTGAACTGCAGGCTCTTGGTAAAGGCACTGTTGGCTCGTATCTGATATGACAATATTTTAAAGATTTGCTTTTTACACAGAATTAAAATGATCAGAAATAGAAATGACAGTAGGGCAAAAATAATCATTGCAAATCAAAGGTACTTATATCTGTTAAAAATTTCTAAACAAATGTTCAAAATACTACGGATCATTTGCACTTGAATAGCTTTAATGTGCTAATCAAATTACATTTACCTTCCTTTAACACCAATTCGCACATTTAGGACCGAGTGAGAATTTGTAATTTGTACTGCGATTTCTGGCACATCAGTACCATATGGATTCAATGCTGCATCTTTTGTCTTTTGCAATTTTAACGATAAGTTAGATTTTTGAACAATAATATATCCTGTATCTGATGGAAAGTAGCAAGCTGGAATAGTTGTATCCTAAAATATCATTTTATAAAAGACGATATCTAATTGAAAGCACTTTCAATACTGTTCAAGTAATGGATTTAAATTTAATATAAGACTTCAAATATTACTATAAACATACGGAATAATATTCATCATCCCAAATACATTTGTGGGATAAGCACGTAGCTTTATCAGCTCCTGGCTTTGGCAAGCAATCAATTCGTCGTTCTGGTGGTACTTGTTTGACAATACTTTCAATACCATTTAAAGTTATTAAATAAAGAAAGATTATTTCAATCATCAAAAATTCTCATAAAACGTCACGCTTTCTTTTTCTGCCTGGAATATAAAAGAGCATTCTGGAAGAAGTTGTAAAAATTTTCTCCGGTATTAATTGAAGATGCAAAATTGTTCTAATAAATCGGCAAATTTATTCATATATCAATCATCAATTGGAAAATATCCGGTAATTGATTGAGTGTACAGATTATTTTCTAACCCTTAATAGCTTATAAACTACTTAAGAATGGAAATATAGTTGTTGCTGAAGATATTTAAAATAGATTTTTCAGCTAAAAATTTGCTTTATCATAGGATTACAAATGCCTAATATCGATCATATTGATCTCACAGTTTATCTACCGAGATTTAATTTGTGTAATCTTCAAATTACAATTCGAAATAAAAGAAGCAAGTGAGATAATAACGATTGGAATACTTTCCTGACGAAATGCACTTGCTCAATGATCTTTAGAATGCACAACCCACAACTGTGCTATGTAAACAAGAGAAAGAGATTATTTCTTGATCGGGAAGCTATCACAACTGGCTTTAGCTTTGAACTGATATGCTTCTCATACTTTAGCAATATTAGCTATGGACGAAAAAATTTGGCGAGTTTTTTAGAATTTTCCACTCGGTTATTTGCTGACAGATATATTTACAGAAAGCAAAGATCATATCGACTTGATTGATAAAAAGACGAAATTAGCAAAATATCACCTATTATTAATTTATTGAAATTTTTGTGATTTTCCAAATTAAATTTTCAAAAACTCTGTATTTTCCTCATTCCTGAAATTGAATAATTTAGAGAAATTTATCACAATTTATCGCCGCTTCAATGAGATATGTACGTAATGAACGACAAACTTTGCTTTTTTCTAATATAGCTAAAGTGGCAATATTGCTTATCATTTGCGGAAGGAAGAAGGATGAAATAGAAATTGTTGGTAGGTAAAGTGATTAGCAATAGATAATACAGTTGCTGCAAAGCATAAGAGGATGATTAGCAATTACACTATCTTCCAAGTTCTATAGCAAATGTCAGAAGTGATGATGTCAATTTATTAAACTTTTATCAGTAAAGACTAAATTTTGCAATTTGAGAACTTCATAGTCATTTAAGAACAGAAACAACATTTTCAGGGAAATGATCTTCCAAACGTTATAACAAAATTGTTCAATGAAATTTTGAAAAAAAAAATCTTATTAATATCTCCCGTTAAGGTCAAATAATCCCAATCAATAATATCCAATCTTATCCATCGAGTCAATTACATGTAAAGAATTAACTACTAGAATTATGAATCCTTTTCAAGTTTCAAATAAATGATTGCGATGTACTAAATACGAATGTTGATAATCCATCAATGACTTTACCAAAAGTTACACTTCATCAATATTCAAATAAAGGCAATTATATTAGGATCAGTAATGTTATCATACAGTGCTGATAACATTTTTGATTTATATAACTCAGATGGGAAGACTTGTACACATGAAATATACGAAATTGTGTATATTACTCTTCTAATATAGCAAACTGCTAATATAATTATCATAGTAACTTCGATTAAACTAGTATTTTTCATCAGAATTAAATCATTATCAAAATTATGTTCCATTTTTTTTTGTTTTGAGAACTTATCCAGTAATGCATAATACTCTTTAAAAAAATCAGTAGAACATTTTAAAATGATTGTACTGTTAAATTCACCATTTGTAGTGTGGTAAATGAATATGCAAGATGAACTGAGACATGACAATCTGAATAACATATCAACCATTCTCTACTACTATAATTTATAAATATTGGCTGCTGACAGTTTTAATATTAGACGATTGCATATGATACCTTACACTATTTGTAAAAAGCTGGTCCACATATTAAGTTAATAGCGAAGTAAAAATGACGGAAAACAAACCCATGATATATCGAAGGATAATATCTATTTGAGGATTTGTCATGCTAAAAGATAAAAAGCTACGTGAAACAATTCATATGATAAGTGCAGTATGATAGAATTGATTTAAGTATTATGATGAATACTCACCACTAAAATTCAAACACCAACGCGCAGTAAATCATTCTCATTTGCATTTTAATTCTTTTGAAGGATTGAATTCAATGATTAACAGAGCCTGAATAAAGCGATTTCATCCATTTTCTGTAATATATCTTAAACATACATTATATGTAAGGCATGATTCGCCAGTTCAGGTAAATGACTATCATGTCGAAATTTGAAGACAGTGCTCCCTCTATTAGGCTATTCCGAACAGTGATTATCCATTTGTCATCGTCGAATATAAAAACAAGTCGGTAGGATGAACGTGTCATACTTTTATATTATCATCGATATATATATATATATATATAATCAATAGTTGTTGCTATCAGATATGTACAGTTACACGTAGTTATCAATGCATCTCACTCTTGCGTATTGGCTAGTTGGTTTATAAATTTATTTATAATTAAATTTTTTTCAAATACTGACCATCTGCCATAAAATGTAAACTGGTTTTCTAAATATTTATTAGTAATTTTCTAGATTAAATATGGAAGCAGTATTAGCATTTTTACTTGTTCATTTTACAATAATCTGGTTCAGCTCAACCTTTTCTTCCAATGACAAATGTTATTTGCAAAATTTTCAAGAAACTGAGCATGTATAAATATGTGCATGCTCAGTTTAATGCATTTTTCGAGTACTTGTGAATGCAACTGCGAAAAAAGAGTGCTGTAAAGCAATCACAGATCTGAAAATAAGAGATAATATCTATTGAACAGCTTTGAGTTACACTGAACATGCTCAAATATAGACAGTACTTACTTCAGTATATATTAAAATCCGTGTGGAAATCATAAAAAATTGAAAATACGATAATAATACTGCAAAATGTCGCTGAATTTAGCAAAACATACGAAAAGTATATCATTTCGAAAATGTTGCTTTTTGACCACAGTTAAAGAAAACACTATTATTAGTTTTAAGTATGCTAATAAAATCAAAGCAGAAATGATATGATAACGAATGATAAATGATTGCTTTCGCCGAGCCAATATTTTGTAACTAATAATATCATTTCATATCATGCTCTACATCAATTTGAAATTCGCTTCAATTAAACAGTAAACCAGACTTTTAAATTTCAGTTTTTAGAAAATTTAAATTTCATAGTTGATGTTTCCAAATTACAGGAATGACAAATGTGCTTTTTTTACATTCCGCATGTTCATATCGGTAGTTTATCTTTCTGCTTGCCTGTTTCATATTCAGTGAAAAATTTTACAAATTATTCAAATTTTTGTTAATCCTTAACATCGACTAAAATTTGATATGCTTTTTTTGGGTATTTTTTTTCTTTCTTTTCGTCAAAATATCATCAATAGCATCATTTAGACAACCTCGATCATATCCTCTGAACTAAAGGAAGCTGATAATAAGCAGTGATTGTTCCCGAATTTATAAATTGAAGCATTTGTCAGCAAAGAGGAAAACAATCAAAATGACCATTTTATGAGTCTTCTGATGCAAAATTGTATCATCCGCTCAGAACGCATTTGTTGAGAAGCGCAGTTGGACTGGCAAAAAGATAAACGAATAAAAATTACGGTTTTCAGAACGGCTTATCACAATTTATTTAACTGATAGTATCGCTGAATATACCTACTAGTTTTTTTTTTTTTTTAAAGAAAAATGTCACAATATCGATTATTGGCTGAGAAGCGTGATGTTGTTTGAGATGTTTCATATGTGTCCATAACAATAGCTAAGATATACATTTATTTAAATAATCACTATTAATAAAAATGGAATTGATATAAATTCAACTCGTTGATTTCGAAAGCAGTACAATAGCTTTAAATTTTAGTGATAATATCACTAACTTAAATATCATTGACTGGTAAAAAAAAATACATTAATTTAAAAAAATTTAATAATGTAATGCCTTTAACAATTTGAAATAAAATTCGTCCACTTTGCACTAATAAAATATTTTAAGAATCAATATTCTTCATATCTACTGATAACTATTATCAGTAGAACTTTACTAGGAAATTCATTATCCTGCTCTACAAATTTTGAAGGTACCATTAAAATATAGGCTTTCAAATAAAATTTTAAGAGGGATATTACGACAATTTCTATAAAATGTATAAAAAAATTTAATTTTTAATTAATTGACCACTGCTTCTATATTCATATGTTTCCTGGTTGTCGGTGAATTGTTGCGAGAGCAACCATCACGGATTGTAGATAAATTCGAAGCTATAATTGAAATAATATAAGAAGCTATCATGACCTTTTGTCGAATCCATTAGTTCATTCCAATAAACGTTTGATTCAGCGTAGCAACGAGAATAGATTGAAGAGGAAGAACGAACCGGCCAAGAACATGCGGCAAATTTGCAATAATAGCTCCATATTCATTTACATTATCATAGATTTCAAAAAGCGGAGCTGCGATCAATAAACTATTCTTCGGAATTGTAAATACTGCACTCTTAGGAAGATTAACGGCGATCAGTTTTATCATCTCTTTTGGTTTCGTGATATGTGAAGGAATATAAGGATACTAAACAGGAGCCTTTAAAGTTATTATATAGATTGAATCACATAAGCATTTCCTCAAAAACAGAAGTGTGGTGGTTGAAATGAAATGAATCGAAAAATTGACTGCGCTTAAAATACTGACTACTGAACTGTAAATGATGATACGATAGGATTCATAACGGTAAATTTCATTTTATACTTCATTCACTGCCTTTCTAAGAAATCAGAATCTCGGAAGGTAACTTACAATTTCTTTTTCAAAGTTGGGACGCCACCACTTTGCAACAACATGCCGTACTTTGCAAATTGCTTCTGCGCTTTCCTCTGTAAGTCCCATAACCTGAAAAGTGGACAATATGTGAACTCAGTGGGACATTTGTCCTTGTCTACTTGAGCTGAAATAACAAAAACTTCACTGCACCTGAACCAATAATCGTTTCATTCCGTCAATTTCATCTTCATCGGGATAGAGCGATACCGTTGGCCTGTAAGTTAATACAGTATATATGCTTTTTAGTTGGTAGCAA